GCAGGTGCGTCGGTGTATTTTCTTGATATTTAAATTTCCTACACCACATGTCTCTGGATTTTTCTTAAAGATTCCATAGGAATATTCACAACATATCGATTCCGTATCTTTCGCTCTTATTCCATGAACACTGTGGATCAATTTGATTGTACTTATAAAATTGTATAATCCAGGCGTTGCAATATATCAGAACTGTATGTAACGACGGTAGAAAGACACGAACATGAGAGTTGTCAGGGAATTGGGATACATCCAAATCCACGCATCACCGCTGTTTAAATGCCTTAGCAGCCGGACTTCTTGTCGGTAGCCTTGGAGCAGAAGTTACCCTCCGCCTTGCGGCGGTTGTTCAGCATGCCGTTGAGGGTATTTGTGTTAGGAAGAGCCTCGCAGATACCCTTGAAGTTCTTCTCAGACATCGCAGTGTGCCAGTAAGTCTTCACGCCGCCACAGCCCGAGTTGTAGGCAAAGCTAACCAGCGCACCATACTGGTTCGCATTGAGGTCCGCGGCATTATCCAGCTTGCACACACAGCTCTCATAGGTATCAATATCCTTGGCAAGTAGCTTCTTGCCTTCGGCCTTCGTGATGGGTGCATTGATGCTGCCGCAATCGCCGTTAGCGGGGCAATCGTGGCCGTAACCTATAAATTCTTAGCGCTCCGCATTAAGGATTCAATAGAGCTAGAATAAACTTACCGATAGCCTGGTGGCCGACAGTATCAGTGTAGAAGTTGCTGCGGAAACCCTCCAATTCTGCAATGAGGTCAAGGGCACCGGAGTTGACGGAGGCACGCTTTTCCACCTCGGTGGTGGGCAGTGCAATAGCGCCAATGGCGAAGAGGGCAACGGCGGCAGAGTAGAACTTCATATTGATTGTATAGAGGTGAATGGCCTTGTTTGTGGCTCTTGTAACGATCTTGTTAATTGAAGACTTGGTCCCGAATGATGGGCCCTTTGCAGAGGGTTGAAGGCCTGCTATTTATCTTCGAAGTCGGGATTTCAGGCCCAAATAATATGACGAGTCGGCTGTGAGACCCCACTGGTTACAGCTCATTCTCGTGTTTTACGAGCTCCCGGCCAATATTGTCATTTCCAGTTTCACTCCATTAGTGCATATACGAGAGAGTTGATTGGAAGATCTCGTATAGCCTTACCTATCATTGTCTTATTTAGACGGGCCCACGGCCAGGGTGAACGTGCAGCGAATGTTCAAAGATAGGCGGCCCACCCGGTGATTTTCATCTAAATAAACCTTCAGCTCGCAAAGTGATTCCTAAAGTAGTAATGACCGAGATGTTGAGACAAGCCACACTGATGCTGACCACGCTTAATGGCGCCACGAACGCCCTAGCCGATTGACTCTGTTGATCTCAGGTCAAGTAATAGCAAATCAGAACGAGAACTTCCGCCCCATGTCTGAGTGATGTAGATCGATCGTGTTCCTGACGAATGCCAAGGAGGTTCGACCAATAAATGCTGGTGTTATTAATGGAGCAAATCTACCAATACCAAACCCCTTGAAGCCCATAAACTGATGCCGGAAATTTGGGGTAGACTTGAGATCGACGAGGCCAAGTAACCAGGTCAAGTAACCAGGCCAAGTAACCTCGTTATCTTCAATGGGGGCCATCTCTCCGATTAGGGGTCGGCGGCCGACGATCAATGTAACGTTTTCAGTGGAAAAACTAATTAAAACCTCGGCGAATTGAAGCCCTTCGGAAGGCAGACAATGACGAGTTCCAGAAAAGCCAACAATTCGGGGGGTATAGCCTTATAGATACTTGTATGACGTTTTGTTTTTGTTTTTTGGGATTGAATGGTCCTTTGATCAACCCAGCCCTCCACCGCTGTGGCGGTTACGTTAGTTATTCTCCTCCTGGTACCTGGCTTATACTAGTTTTCCATAATACTGAATGAAAGCCATATTGCTAAGATGCTGTTGAAGCTCAGCGCGAGGAAATTCTCAATTTTTAACACGTAGGATATTGTCGAATACAAAGTCCGAATACACCAGGTATTATACCAAGATCATCATGTGACTTCAGGTACCAGGCATACCATACAAAAGTGCATACAGGACTGGACATCAGTTTCCAACTCCTGTGATTATATAATATTCTTTAAAAAAAAACATATTATAATTGCCTTAACAAATAATATTTAATAAAAGCATTCGATGTAGAGGTTTAGGAATGAAGAATAAACCATCTTGGCGAAGAATCAATTTTATGTTCTAGTTTATCATGATTCTATTCACGAATACTGATACATACGACCATAGGGTGTGGAAAACAGGGCTTCCCGTCCGCTCAGCCGTACTTAAGCCACACGCCGGTGAGTTAGTAGTTGGGTGGGTGACCACCAGCGAATCCTCACTGTTGTATGTTTTTGTTCACCCAATTTTCTTTCACTTGTTCAGAGGCTCCCTTTTGCCGCCCGCCCTACTCTTCGGTCCCTTTAGCCCATTCAGCTGAATGCGCTGAGCACCACTTTTCTATACCTGAATATCCTGCGCGTTCCTGAACCTCTTGACGTGGACTTCCCGTCCTGTGCTGATTTTTTTTCTCACAGACATGTTAAGTTGTTTTAATCACAATAGGCTGCTTCTCGAAACGTATACGTCACAAGACTCACAACGCTCCAAAGAGAATCTCTTCTTGACCAGCTACCATCCATCCCTATCATCTGTCTTCAAGAGACTCAACAATTTTATAAGGCTTTTATTACCTGCTAGGTCATTTAAGCAAAAGAGTACATTTTATACAAAATACTAAGTACAAAGAGGGCGAGAAAGGAAGAAAGAAGATTGGTTGGAATATGGGTATTTATGGGTCCCAAGCCCTGCAAACATTGCGAAGATTCCTTGCCGAGCTCAGGGAAACCCCAATTTATCATGCGGTGTAAAGCGGCATAATGCAGATTAGAGAGATTGACAGAAAGCTGGTGTACGAACGTATGGTATAGATGACCAATGTTGAAGACTCTAACTGAAATGACAAAACCCGCTATTTCAACAATCTGTGCGGACATTGATGCAAATGTGGACGAAATTATGCAATGTATTGGTGTGAGAATATTTTGTTCTCTAGTGAAAATTTCTCCGTCCGAAATCTATAAGATGGATAGACACAAAAGAAAGGGGGAAAGGTTCTATTAATGCATGCCAAAAGATTGTAATTAGGGAAAGATAAGAAATATCAAAAGAAAGAAAGAAAGAAATAAGAAAGGAAAGAAACAAAGATTAACTCGAGGACTTGTACTAGGAACGTTTGGTATGTTCCGTTCGAGAATTTGTACGCATTTTGTGCTGAAATCCCCTTCTGCACGGCGACGTCCACCCAAAATTCAGATCAGACTTTCTCGGGCTCAGAAATGATTGACCCTCTGGACTCGGTCGCGACTGAAAGCACTCGCCTGCGCATTGCAGCCAAAGAGGCGAAAATCCCAACAAGCCACCAAGAGAACAAAATTGGCAGTGACCGATAGAGAGTCGGGTTACATCCACGAGTCCAGATATCGACGAGGACCTGATAGATCTCATGTGCGGGCAAAGCATATCCAATGCGGTAGAATCCAGGAGATAGCTCAAATGGGCTGATAGTACTCGAGACATTGATGATGATCCAAGTCAGCATGAAAAACGACATAAACTTCATCGGGAGCACCGCCGTGACCGAATCGATGATGAGGAAGTTGAGGTGCATTCCGAGCCAGAGGAGGATCCACGTCAGTGGGAATTGACTAGGTGTGGTTTCCCAGTCTTCTCGGAAAGCCCAAATATAGCCGCTCATGCAGAGTGAGGCGATGAAGGCGAAAAAGACAGATACTCCCAGTCGAAGAGCGATATTCTGTCTCAGGGACAAGGTTTGAAGGATGTTGGATTCAGCCGTAATACCATTCAGGGCCATTATGAAGAAGAATTGTGGTAGAATGACCATCACCATCGTCACAGTATTGTAGTAGAAACGAACACCCTGATTCGTTGGCTTGATATCGATTGATGTGGCTCCAATTGGATCGAACAAGATCTTAGCGATGTTTTTATCTGTTGTGTTGGCTGTTGACATCGCTGATGTTCCATTCATAGCATTGTAGGTACCTCTGGTTGCCTGGACCAGACCCTGGAGACTGGAAGAAATAACTTGGGCGTAGGAGGGATACTTCGCACCGTTCCAAACGTAGGCCAATGCCTCGGAATTTTCGTATGTTTGCGCAGCTTCGGGAGAGGCGAGGGCGGCGGACAATCTTGAAGAAGCGTTAGGGTTGGTGTAAATCGCTCCCCAATAGTGACCCTTGCAGACAGATTCACGGATGTCATTTGCAGCCGGATACTCGGTCGGTGGATGTTCAATGAGAGTGGGAAAACCAGGGCTTGCTAGCTGGGAATATGCAGCTTTAATTGATTGTCCAACGACGCCGTTGTCGTAGTCAACGAGGAGAATGTTGAAGGCCTTCATCCGCTGCGAGTCATTGAAGGCGCTACCGTATAGGTAGCTCATAATTCCAAGAAATAAGAGTTGGATGAGGAAAAACGAGCCTCCCACGCCACCCAAAAAGGGCTTTGGAATTTGCATGTTGAAGGTACACAGGACTGATGCCTTGGTGTTCAAGTGGGAATGATATGTTTATCTGAAACGGCTGATATATAATTATTATTATTGTGACGGAAGAGGAATTTGAGAAGAAAGAACAAATTTGCGCGAGTCTGAACCATCGGAGAAAGCAATGGATTTTCGGACATAAAAGCTCGTAGAATAATCTCCTGGCCGAAAATGCCGGTGGAATAGGGTTAAAGTCCGTAACATACATCGTACAATTTCACTATAGATTAACCTTTTCACAAAGTTCTAATATAAGATCTATGGATACCGGCTTCCGCTGCGTAAGCGGAAGCATTTCGAGAACAACACAATTTAGAATACGCAGCGTATCACATATATTAACTTTATGTGGATAATTTCTTTCATAACTATGCAATGTATTTTATGTTACACGTAGTCAAACCAAGAGTTGTTCATAAATCTTGCTAATCCCCCACCACTTGATGTTCCTCATTGTGGAAATCGATTCGTCCGAGAGTTTTCCTAGACCTGATGGAGACGATAAGTTCCCCACGCCTGACATCTTGATGCGCCCTCGGCCGGTCTCAACCCACTGGCCCTCTTTCGAGTTATTAAAATCTGATGCCCCTATGATGACAGAGGGCGTGTCAGGCGGGGTGTCTTGGGACTGGCCCAAAAGAACAGAGTATAGCCACAAAACCAATGCCGATTGGAAGAAAAGTACTGATGTGGAGTAATGCGTGCAGTAGGTAGATCGAACAGTGTCAAACAAGTCGGCCGCATACACAACAGCTTGCCTTGTCCTGCGAGGGGAGGAGCTCCATTCCAGTTGTAGTCGGCCCAAGTCGCAATCGCTGTATCGTTTGTATTTAAATTTCAAACCGGTCGACAGCAAAGGCATGTTTGGTGAATTGTTCATTATTAACACAGAGAAAATTATGATTCGATGAGTGCCCAGTGCCTTCAGCTCGTTCATTGGAAGATCTTGCTTTTGGTGATAGGTTATAGCAAGTATTTGTCGCGGCGCATTCGCAGCTGCCGTGCAATCAATAACTGAGACATTAGGGGAACAATACAATGACTGGCGGCGGTTCTCTTCAATAGTACTGAGAAGTTGCTGCAAGATAGCGCTTTTCCCGGGTACTCCTGTCTTACTCAATATTGCCGTCCAGCCTGCATCGGACACCAGGCGGAACAGAGTCTGCGGGAAATTGGGTTCTATTTGCTTTGGTAGAGAAATATAGCAATTACTGATATCTTCGATTACTATTACTCATGCGACCTGGAAAGCCAGCACAGGCTTGTGCGCTAGATGCCGCCCATGGCTTTTCCTCTTGAGGTAGGGAGTTCTGCATCTCATGAACTCTCCTCACGGGGGTCAAGTCAAAGTCAGTTTGAAAGGCTGAATCTGTAAACTTGATTCTAACGTTAGAAAGGAAAATACTGACATTAATTTACGCTCGAAGTGTTCATCCACTCACCCAGATGGCAAAGCCGGTTCGTCGCCTCTCCTCGTCAAGAGCCCGGATCTGCCATCTCTGATAGAGTGGTAGGTCAAGATGAGATACCCTTTCCTGAGGCAGGTAGCTCGTGAATAAACGTTTCCGACGAGCTAAAGTTACAGGAAGTGCTTGCAACAATTCCTCGATTTCGAGGCCGCCCCCCCCCCCCCCCCCGGGTACCCCAGAATACCGCGAGGCCAATTGATTGAGCAGGATGACCTGCGTCATCCAGAGCTCACGACTATTTTGATTATTATGTTCACACTGGTTGGATGTTAGTCTCGAATTACCTCGATCATTATCAAAATTTCTTACCAGATATGATGTTGACCGCCGGACCATCTCATTGATAGCCCTTGAACAGGCTTGTGATTGGGGTAGCCCAGAATATTGAGCCCCAATGGCGCCAACAGCGAACATAAGCACCCAATGTGTGTTCGAAGTTCCAAAAGACGGCTTATGTAGGAAAGGGAACACTGGATGAAAGTGTTCTAAGTAGATTTGCGCCCATGCATTGATTTACAGGGGTATGTGGCATCCTTAACTCAGCAAAACGTGGAAAACCCCGATGTTGTTTCCGGCGCTCGGTCGACAATGCCGCAGCTCCATATTTTCTCCTTCCAGGGATGGCGAGCGACTGCGGGAGTTACGGGTGTGGGAGGCTCGGGGGTCCTAGGAGTAAGCCCTTCGGGCTCTCTTGGTATCGGTCAGAGAATATCCGGTCCCTCGGCCCCGGTGTTCAGGTCAAACAAGGTCCAGAAGAGGTTGATGTCCAGTGTTGAGATCTCTGATTGGTCACATGATGTGTCCCTGCATTTATAGTAGTCTAGTTCCTACCTTTCCTCCTGTACAACCCACAACTATCGTCATCCACAAAACATTACATTGTGTTTTAATGATCTCATCTACCCAATAGACTCTAACATATACATGTGGAACCAAGGCGATAGTGCCGGGAGTGGATGAGAATGGGTTGGATTGCCGATTCCTCAAGGAGTTAATCTAGCAATCCGGCCATGAGCATATCCCAGCTAAATCAATGGCTTTTCCATTAGGAAAGAGTGCATGAAAAATTCAGCGTGATACGGTTGAAGAATTTGCATGAGATAATCCGTCCAATCACTTTGCCAGCCTCATGTAAGTAGAGCCTTTGCGAATTCCCAGTGTTCTGGCTACCAACCACTTAGCTCCCAGTCTATAATAGCCATCGCATTTCCATCTTTCACCATAACATTCTGAGGCCGGATATCACCATGTGTGAATAAGATGCGGTGGGATTGAGGAAGCATTCCACTGAGAAAAGTTCCGATGTGGCGTTTTGGCGCACTCTTTTGATAGGCCTTGATGAGAGCCCTGTTAAAGTCTTGCTCCGACTCGAATGGGCCTTTGAAAGAAAATTAGTTCAAATGAAGGGGTCCCTGCATGTTCCATTCCCAAGGTCCGGGTGTTGTACCTTTGTCAACAGAGGTCGATAAACTGTGGTCAGTAACAGGGCCATGATCTATGGAGCCAATGTAAACAACATTCCCCATATCACGGAGCTCTTGGATATAGCTTGCAAGTTGTCTTGAAATATGGGATTTGGTGGAGACGCCGGAAGTGTCCCAGGCTATGTCGAGCGTTTCACCGGTAACGAAATCCATGAAGATGTAGGTATCGTAAAGGCCTCCGTAATCGCCATCATCACGATCAATTGGACCGTACGTATAATATGCAAAAACTTTAGGTACGGGAACCCCTGTGTTCTGCGCGACATGAATCATGGTTTTGGCCTCGGTAATGTTGACATGAGCACCAAACTTGACGACGACTTCAGGTGATATCTTCACGATAATGACACCTTGGCAGAAGATCAATTTGCTTCGATCTCCATAAAATTGGTTGACAGTATCAGGATGCGGCAGGCAAAATTCAGGGGCACAGTATTGCACATTCAACTAAGGCTCGGAAATCGAAGGTTGAGAACCGCTCAATGTTGTAGTGGACGCCATGTCTCTATGCTCTAGAGGCTATTTTCGGTATGAATGACAGGCACGGGTGACAAGGAGAGGAAAATGTAGAAGCTCGCATAGTCAAACATGGAAGAGGTCAAAACATACGTTGGAAAATACAGGATATTTTACCACTAGACCACAACAAAAACCAAGATTCCTGTTTATCTCCGACTAACACCGAACGACTTTAATATTCTTGCCTCCATAACTTTTTACCTCGATTAATTCTATCCTCGTAAACTCTCCCAACCAATACATACTCTATGCCCGTTCATGAACACTCCTATTTGATTCTGGTCGCTCGTGTTCTAAATTAAGATTATGGCCAAGTAAAGAAAAGGCTAGCCTTCTATCGTTAGATTGCCATCAACCTCTCTACTCATTTTGTGTACAGTAGTATAATTCAGTATTCGCATTTGAGCAAAGGGCCGCGCCTTCCTAAGGTAATAACTCGTATATGAATGTCATTGATCGACCTACCAATCAGATTATATTACACATACACATATTCTACTGCCCAAGTAGAAAATATACTGTTAGCAGAATATATCTAGCTCATTATTCAAGATGAACACGTTTTGTTACCGGTAAAAGAGGCAAGAATCAAGAATAATTTGACGTGGATAGGCTGGTAGCGGCCCTATTCAGTGAAGACAACACCTCCGACTATAGCAGTTGGAAGAGCAGGAATTACGCTGGGTAAAAATTACGTCCAGCGCGGGTCGAGGTAGAAAGCTTCACGCACTGGAAGTACATAGGAATAAAATAGACCACCCAAAAAGTGAGCATGTTGTGGATGAAGGACGAAATTACAGCGGCGAAGGAGGTCCGGTTGCCGAAAATATGGGGTGGCATTATGGGCTCTGAACACCACGAGCTGGTCTCGTAGACGTGGAATATTACCATACCAACATATCCGAGCATGAGACAAATTATGATCCCGGAGTTGGACTAGATATACGCAGTGCTCCCTCGGGCGAGGACCAATAGAATAGAGACGATGGATGTCATTAGTATCGCGTTGCCGATATAATCAACCTTCTTGACCTTTTCTTTCCAGCGCTCTTGTTGGTAGTTGATATGTAAGAATAAGACCAAGAAGACGAGCGCCGCTCCCCCAACTGGGGGATTTAGATAAAACTGTCGATGCATTGGCTGAGTGCGGTCTACCTGGTACGGAAATAGATTAGTACACTTACAGCCCATCGCCAGGAGCTGTGTTGCACCAGAGCACCACTGATGAACGGACTGAGCGGGGTTCCAATAGACAACATCGTGGAGAACATGCCTATGAATTTTCCTCGTTCGCGTGATGGGTCCATATTGCTGACAATCATGTCAATCATGACCTTGATACCTCCTCCGCTAATATCTTGAATTGTTCTCCCAGCAATCATCATGGTAGAATTGATAGCGCCACCACTGATCGGAATTCATATTCCCAACACCGTCCCCCGGGAAAATGAGATCCACCCCGAAGTCACACAGCTCCCGCATTGCGTTGGTGATTCAGTCATCGTTGCAACTGCTAGGTCGCCTTGAAGATTTGGTGAATAAACTCACGATGCCACTCCTTGCGGGGGGGGATGGCGACAATGGAATTAGCCGCTCTCCGACTCCACCAACCAGACGCAATGTAATCAGGATGTTAATGACGATGGTCCGCAAATGCGAAAGCCAAATGATGCAGGCAGCGGCAGGGCTGTAAAGTTGCTACTGCGAGGGACAAAGGCCGCGTGAGCGATGCTCGTGATGGCAAATATGATGGATGATGTAATACCCAACAGAATCGCGGAGGATGCCATGCTAATATGGATCAGGATAGGAGACGAAAAGGGAAAACCGTTCTTCGTATTGATCGGCGCACTGTAATCAGCCATCAGCGAGTATATTGCCGGGTCGGCGAACTGCGATACTTGGCCCTGGTGCCCAGATCGGCCGCCGCCCTTGCACCTTTTGAGAAATAGAGCATTGAGTAAGAGAAAAAGGATCCCGGGTGATGAGCCGAGGATTATGGATGCTCAGATGTCCAGGTACCTTGCCTTGACTGGTGAGGTCATGTAAGGGTATTGATAAGAGCAAGGCCGGGACATGTGGATATGGCGCACAAGGGAATGCGACAATGAAGACGAATTACAATGAAGACGGATTGCTGTACATATTATTAAGCTTTTGAATATCACTTAGACTACATTTTATACCCCTAAATATGGTTCACGAATATTAAATTATGATGTAGGTAATCGACTAACATCTAGACATTTTTTACATGCCGATTAAGTACAGTGGTAGATATCGTCTCTATGCCCAAATGTTTCTAGAAAGAGGGGGTCACGGGAGCACGATCAAGCTTGAAGTAACCAGGCTGGAGAGTCTGGTAAACCTCCCTAGGGTCGTACTTCTTTGCAATCTTCTTCAGCTGGGCCTTGTTAGCAGCACCATATCCAGCGACAGCATCCTGGAACATGCTAGCGTAGTTCATGTAGACGTATTCATTGAAAACGCCGACGGTCTTAGCCTCAGCAATGACCTTCTCCATGAACTTGTTGACAAACGCGTAGATAGTCTGGTCGTCAGACTGGTTCTTCCACCAGCAGGAAATGTGCAAAAGATGAACAGGGCCAGAGGACCCGGACCCAGTGAGTCCGAGAGCATTACCCCCGTGGTTCTTCATGTTGTTCAACATGGGCTCAGTTATGCCCTGGTAGATGAGCACGGGCTGGGCACCTGCAACATCAGCCACCTCGGGAATCATAGAGTAGAAGAGGTCTACCACCCAGTTGGCGAATTTCTCGTCGAGAGCCGCGCTGATGGGCCAGTACACCTCGCGAAGACCGAATGGGTTTGAGGTCTCGAGGTACTCGACGTACTCAACAAGAGTCTTGGCGCTAGATGTGTCGGAAATGGCCGGGATACTTTTGTATTGCTTGTAGATCTCGGGATTGGGGTCGTTCTTTACGTAGGTCAATTCGGCGGAGGCAAGGTTCATCTCTTGGGTCCGGAGGAAGGCGACGTATTGTTGAGCGTTACCGTCAACAGTGGCGTTGTTAATCACGTTGATCCAAGCATTGATGACCTCGGGGAACTCGGCCTGGAGGAAGGTCCTAGCACCACCGTATATCTCTGGTGAGGGGATTGTGTACAGATTGTACTTAGTGACAAGACCGAAGTTGTTTCCACCACCGCGCAGGGCCCAGTATAGGTCAGGGTGTGAAGTTGCACTTGCGGTTACAATCAGACCACTAGCGGTAACGACCTATGTGTGCCTTGTTAGTATATGTTCTCTGCAGAGCATGATTGGGGGGATAATCTTACCTCAAAGCTCTCAACGTTGTCGCAAGCCCATCCGTACAGGTTGGAGTGATAGGAGATCCCACCGCCTAAAACGAAACCACCAACACCAATGCTAGACGCACGACCTCCAATAACAGCTAATCCATCGGGCTCAAGTGCAGAGTAGGTGGTCAGCCAGTTGTTTCCAGGTCCAACAGACGCGACCGTCTTGTCAGCGTTAAGGGTAACGGCATTCATATCCTTGAACCAAATACTGATTCCGCCAGGAGCGCTAGAAGCACCGGTAAAGGCAGCATGGCCACCACTGCGCGCGGCAAACTCACAACCAGTCAAACGAGAGAGCAAAACTGCAGTACTGACTTCCGTGTTCTTGGCAGGGCGGAAGACGCAATGAGGCTGGACCTCTTCTTGCTGCACGGACCAGAATGAGCTGGTGAAGTTGCTGTACCCAGTAGTTTGTTGGCCAGCGACTTGGGATCCAAAAAGGAAGCTCAGACTTGCGCACTAAGGGGAATTTGAAATTAGCGATTGTTGGAATGCCTAGCCAAGTTGCTATGGGTGCCAGGTTTTGTTTACTGCAGCTGCACAGGCCTTATCGGTTGACCGTGTCTCAATGGCGAACGACTCCAATGCGGGAATTTTCGAGACATGCACACCGAGATCTTCTAATGCGCCGGTGATGCTGAAATCATCGGCTTCAATAACCGAGCTGGTCTCAGCGGCCTGGACCAGGGTTAGCCCGCCAATCGCGGATAACCCCCCTATGAGGGTGGAAAGATGCATGATCCAATAGATATGCAAGCAAGCAGTACAGAGTAAACAAACTTCAGCGAAGAAAAGAAGAGAAAAAATCCAAGTGGAAACTTATTGTCTTTTAACTTCCTCGGAGTTCAGCTCATCAAATGCTTTGGTTACCTAGATGGTCCCTGGAATTGGCCATTAGGTGAATTAAGTAATTAGGGGGCCGTATAATTGGTGCAAATTATGAATTATATTATGATGGGGCATTCCAAGGCCGTGTTCACTTTCGTTAACGCATAGAACAATCTCGCTTCCAAATCTAAGCGAAGCGGCGCAGCCCGAACACCTAAACCCTCCTAGAAACCATAGCAATGAACTTTTGTTTTTTACCATCTAGAATCAGTGCGCCCTAGCGCTTGTTTCACCCTGCATATTATTCTTAGATAGAGTTATTCTCATTGGCTCCAAAGGCTCTCTTTTTGAGTCGCAGGCTAGGCATAATCTCGGAAAATGGCAATGGTGATGACTTTTTAAGCGACGGTGCGACTCCGAACGCCACTAAGACGCCACGCCCGGCACCGTAAGTCGGGGCTTATGCAGGCGGCAATAAATTTGAGACAGGAAGTCCAAACTCAATTCACAATTTTACCTAGCCTTCCCCTATGATTGACTGAAACTGTCGTGTTTTTTTTTTTTCTTTCTCTTCTTCTCTTGAACGTTGTCTGCACATTCTTTCCATGGGTATGGTATGCCGGACCAGTCCTTGAGCTTTAAATAGGTTTTCTTTTTCTAAGACCCTTCCATGTGCGCCTCGGCCCGTCATCAACTCCCGTGGTTATTGGGAGCCACTTGGGGGCCGATTGGGGGACATGTGGGGGCCACAAGAGCCCAGGCTGAGGGGGCGGGCCATCCACCCCACCGGAGCGGTATATCTCTTCTATGATTGGCTTAGAGGTGGTGGGGACATGTATATCCAATAATCCGCGAAACAAACGTGTATATTCCTCCAAGAATCACCATGGTGGCTGCAGATGGTGCCCATGTGAATCTTAAACTGAAGATAATGGCTGGCCTGTGGTTGCGGAAATTCTAATAAAATGCTTTAGGTATATGGATGGCAGTGGACCCACGCGGTTTACGGCGTGCTTTTCTAAAATCGAGTCTCACTAGAAGGGATGGGAGAGGCTACTACGGGCACCTTTGGCCCTAGTACCATCAAAGGTACTGGCATTGCCCTGATTGTACTCACTTCGCTGGTTGTAGGCACTCGTTTTGTTGGTTCCATTCGAAGTTTCAAAGACCTCCAGGCTGAAGACTACCTTCTGATTGTTGCATACATATTCTTCCTGGAACTAAGCATTCTCTATATCTACATTTCTCCTGTCATCTTTCGCATCGCAGCAGTCAGTGCCGGAAAGATTGCCCCCTATGCCACCATCTCGGAGGACGGACTTCGATTACAGACTGTCTTCTTCGTCACGACCTCTTCATTATGGCTCTGTTTGTGGATGGTCAAGTTCTCGCTCTTGGCAATGTATAAACGGTTGCTAGTCGGGAAAAAATACCTCATCGCCTGGTGGGTTATTATGGGATTTTGTGTCCTGGTATGGATTTCCCGTCTAAGTGCGAGTCTTCAAATAACTGACCAGGCTCTTCTCAGTTTATTCTTGGCTGCATTCTCTCATCGTGGCTCTCGTGCTCTAGCTTCCATGCCTGGTTTACTGCAGGCCAATGCGACACTCCACGTGACCACCGGGCGGCCGTCATCAGTTTATACTACGCATACGGGGTGGATACAGTCACTGATATAGCAAGTACGCATTACCCTCCTTGGTCCTCGAAACTTACTCATCTAATTTCGCTAAGTCATGGTTCTCCCTATCCGCCTTATCTGGAATCTACAAATGAAAACCCGACAAAAGCTGAGTATTGGCGGGCTATTCTGCTTCGGCTGGATTTGCATCATAATTTCCACCATCCGCGTCGTTCAGCTAGGCCAGACTGAAAACGGAGTCCCCGCTCCGTCATGGCTAGCCCTATGGGCAACCATCGAGGCATCAATCGGTATGCTTCAATTTCTGCTTTGTCTACCTTCATATTGATGCATTTCACTCACTTTCATTCTCCTAGCCGTCATGATCGGATGTTGCCCCGGCCTCTATCGCGTCCTTAAAACTGCTCTATCGCCCTCCAAGACATCCTACCAATATGACACATACAACTTGAGGGAGCGGGGAGGCAGTGGTATACCATCGCACCGCTCGGGTGCATTTGTGGGAACTGATGTTCCTTTGAACAGCTTTAGGGGGAAAGAGGAGGTATACCAGTCGGCGAGTGCATACCATTTTACCAGTCCATCAAGCAGTCAGGAGAAATTGACGCACCCGAGTGACAAGCGGAATATAATGGTTAATTACGGAGTTGCCGTGACGGTAGAGAATCGGCCGAGTGATTATCGTCAGACGGAGCATCTCGTGTAACAAGCCGAATGTATTTTGCATGAAAACTCTGTAGAATCGAATAAATCCATTGTGGCAATGACAAATTCCAATCTACGATAGTAACCTATACGGCTAATATGATGTTTCTATACCGACGCCGTCGCTCAATACAAATAATATTTATGCAGGTGGTGGCAGGACAGTACAAGAGGACAAGCTTAGAGCCTATAGAGTACATACCTGGTGTGCAAAATAAACTACATAGTACTACAAGGTTAAAGTAAGCCCCCCGTCAGTCTTCGACCGTCGGGCGCATCGAGTGAGACAGTACCAAGTCATCAAGGTCGGCCAAAGAATGGAGAGACGGTGCACTGTTTGAACGAATCTTACTGATGGATAAGCTTTCCAAAACAATTGCTTGTATATGCATACTTCTCCAATCGTACCGCCAGAACCGGTGGATTGTAGGATTTTCCGGTTTTCTCAATGTTCTCGACCCACCTAGTTGGCCATCCACCTTCCATGGTATTTCATATGTGATACGATCATGGGTATATCTTAAGCTTGTCAATCCCTCAAATTCAGTACCGAGATACTAGATAAGGGTCGATACACTCCTTAATTAAATCAGAAAGCAACTCACCCTTGTCGCCGGAGGCCGAGGCCTCTGCCTCCTTTGGCAAGTCTTCAGTGGTATCGGGGGTGGAGCCTGGGTTGTACTAGTTAGCATCCATTGATATAGGACACGACTGATTCAGTAATCAGACGAAGAACTCACCCTCTTGGCTAGAGGTTGGAGCCTCCACCTCTTTCCGGAGGTATTTTTCTTCGGCCGCTAATCAGACATTGTGAGTCAGTAATTTGATTACCGGCACCAAGGAAGCACCAAATGAATCATGCATATCCTCATTTGTGGCTGGCTTTGTCTTCCTTTTGATAGGGGCCACCCAGCAACAGAGACCATGCAGCAACAGGTATCATGCAGACGAGGCAAAGGGCACGCCTAGGTATCAACCTACTGGTAGAGGTGTTGGGGGGTTGGGCTGGGGGGACGGCTGCTCAGGTGGTTTATACTTGTTGAAGTCTACAGAGTAGATGAGATCATGAAACAGCACAATGTAATGTATTGTGGATGGATGATAGTTGTAAAGATGGATGTAGGAAGAAAGAGAGCTAGTCTACTACTATGGGAACATGTGACACCTGAGAGTTCAAACAATAATAATTAGCAAATGTTCGTATTAAGATCAAACTGACTTGAAAGAGCGAATAAATCACCCTTTCCGTCAGGGGCCGGGGCCTCTGCGTCCTGCAGGAGGGCTTGTTTGGCGGCTGCACAGGCGTAGAATCAGTAATATGCTGTCTAGGACTGCAGAATCACTGAACACAACTTGCGTACCCTTCTTGGTGGCTTGCTTGGCTAATAATAATTGTTGGTCATCTGTCCCCTTTAACGACCGGTCAAGGTCACAAAAAGAACGCAAGTGAAGTTGGTGTGACGCAGAACTGAGATCAACGTGAGAGTGAAATTTCAGGTCTAGTATTCATGAATTGATTGATTTGATCAGGTGAAGTAGGACATACCCTTCTCGTTCGCAAAGTTTCCCTTGCAGCGGCGGTGGGCCTTACGTTTCTTGTTCTGTTCCAGTGAGGTTCTAGATTAATTCGGCTCTTTCGAAGAATGGGTATGGGAGCGTTACGGGGGGCTGGCGTTGACCATGCATTGCTCGAGGCAAAGCGCCCTTCGGATAGGCTGCAAGAGTCGATAGATCAACTGACAACCGCACTTGAGAGTTCCAACACTGAGCATGGCCGATGCTAGGGAATCTTGGCCATCAGCGGGAATGTTTCCTATGAATACTATCACAACTTTCCTGTCAACCGCCGTCTCCTACCCTGGTGCCCGCCCGGCCGATTGACCAACAGCTTTCACATCCGGCATGACTGCAACGTAATTGACTGGATGTTCAATCATATGAGACAAAACACCGAAACCCCGGCCCGATAATTAGCATGTCAAGTTCCGACCCTGCATCTTGGCGCGCTATGCAGACAGCAACACATCACCTCCGTATGCACTTGAGGATCGAGGTTGTTTTGCTTCAACCAAATCATTCCTGTGAATTGATTAAGTCGCTTCAACCTGTTCTTGTGGAGATTTATTAGAGAAGATATTCTTGTTCGTTCCTCCGCCTTGTCCTTGGTCTGTTGTTATTTGTCTTTCACTAGTCCCTTGTTTTTCATCTTTCGGTGCTTAAGTTTTCTTTGGTTTTTAGTTTTGTCTTATCAACTACCTAGTTTTACCTCTCTTCTTCCACCTCAACAATTTTCCACATTGGCTCTTTCATTTTCAAAGTTCTCTATTTCCCACATCAAGTTTTATTTCATTGGAAGTTTTTGACCCCTTTTCCCCCCCTCATATCTATCGAAAGGCTCGGCTTAGAGTAGACCTCAATCACCCAGGCTCCGAAGTACAAAGATAGAAGACAGGTTTAACATCTGCTGCTAAGTGCTCAACATAACATTAGTGTCCCTTCAATTAGGGGGATAATCTTCCTTCACCACTATCAACAGTTTCCTTAAGGTGCCATATCATCCACGCCATATGCCAATCCTGCAAAGACCCCATTGAACCGAATGGTAAAATCAATCAGGCCATTTGGGATATTATGGATTAGATCCCCAATAAGCCGCAGCTCTGGTCGAAGGTGTGCAGGCTGGGAGAGTCGCACTCGAAGGCTTTTGGCGGATCCATCGATTTTGATAGCGCACGTTCTTCTTTCAGCCCGGCCACCGAGTCTGTTAATCCCACCGGCTATGAGGCGAGTGGCTTTCGGGCCCTTCTCGAGACAGGCGGCACAGGTGAATGAATCGTTAGATGGTAAGATTTCTAGCCCAATACACATTTGATGTTGCCATGTACCACACCTACTACAGTGTACGCCCGAATCCTCTAGTCCGGTACGATCACCGCAGCAGGGTATAGACAGGTCCAGGCTTTGCACAGAAACATCCCTGAACTGGGGCACTGAAGCATAATACCATCGTTCAGCTTCGAAGGAAGCTTGTGCAAATGATAGCGCATCTCTTGGCTCCGAGCTATGGAGGATCCCTAATAAAACCTCTGATGGCATAGAAAAAGGCCACTTCTCTCTGTTAGCCCAGGTCATTTTCCAGCAATTAGAGGACAGAACCTGGGCTAATACCCGAAAGCCCGGGGAGCATTGCGTTGCCGAGGAATCGGTTAGGAGCGGGAGAACCTCGCTGCACGCAGTGTTGTGTTGGGACAGTTCGACAAAAGCCACATGGCGCGGTGAGATAAGGATAGACTGAACTTTGTGAGGTATGCGACTAGAACTGTCGATGAACGCTTTGGCTCCGGCGATGACTGTGCGAAGCAGTTGAGGTGACTCAAGATCCGGTTGCAGCATAATGAGAAATCCGTGAAACCAATACCGTTCCTCTTCGGGAAACTGCCAGTTGGGGATCGAACTATGGTTGATGGGCAGTTCCACATTGCAATCGTAAGACACCTCGAAATCCCATGAAGTGAGGCGGAGGATAGCTCTATTGAATGCATTGAATACACGGCTTCCATTGTGCCACGTGATAGGGTCGTCAATCTAGGAGCGCCATAGAAAGATGAAGTCTAAGAAGAATTGTTGTTGAAGCTCGATCATGGCTGTAGGCAAATCCATTGGGAGATTCCATGGTTCCAGGCTTACTGAGTCAAATTGCGAGTCGTGATCTTTTTCAGAAAAAGAATGGGGGGACAATGCGTTTGTCGCAAAGACTCAACGGAAATGCTGGAGGTTTCACATATCTTGGCCAGGCTAGCTTCAAATGCTTGGGGCGTCGGAACGCCATCAACAGCCGACCGCTTTGAAAGAGTGAAGGTGCCCGCATCGTGATCGATCGTGTAGACAAAATCGAAGTATGAATCTAGCGGGCTTGGAAAAGGGACTTGATCCCACTGTTCAAGGTTGATGGTCTTGTTATATATCTGCTTGACTCTACAAACTGTCTCAGCTGCTTCTGGTGGGCTCACTCGAATCCGATGACGGAAGCGGTACCAGCAGCCTAATTCAAACGATTAATATTTTAAGACAAATCATCATACATTTTACCAACCGTCCACACGTAAGTTCCACAACCCCCTGATTCCCATTTCGGTAGACTCGGCAAGACGTCTCTCGGGGATACGATCCACGTGAAAATCAACGTCACGAGTCGGTGAAGTAGATGAGAGATCTAGAGAGGTCTTATTTGGGTGTGTACAAAGGGGAGTGGCCTCCCTTTGAGACTGAGGATAGGAGCGTCTGGGATGTTTGCAATGTTTGATATTCAGGATCGCGGTGGGTGTTATGTGTCAGGTGCAAGCCGGGAAAGGATCCGCTTTGATACTAGAAGGGACCAATCTCACGATGATCTGATATGTTGTGTGATATAGGGGCCGAAGAGTAAGTAGGGCGGCAAGAGGGAGTTTCCGAACGAATAAAAAAAAAACGGGTGAACAAAAACATACAACAGTGAGGATTCGCTGGTGGTCACCCACCCAACTACTAACTCACCGGCGTGTGGCTTAAGTACGGCTGAGCGGACGGGAAGCCCTGTTTTCCACACCCTATGGTCGTATGTATCATGCTATGTGTGGGAGAGGATTATAGAATATAATTTATTAGGTTGTAGAAAGAAGAGTGTCGTGCGACTAAGGGGTGAGTGCGCTATAGACAGGGTGAGCATCTAAGTGAAAACCGGGTGAGAATTCTGCAGGCTGGCGCGATCACCGCGTTGGCCGCCCGACTAGGCTATAATGATAGGTCATTGGTTGTGATTGCTGCATCTGAACTGTGTTTGCCTCGCGCCCTCCTCCCATTTGTGATGATGATCACTATGATGATCACTATACCAGTTCGTGTTAGTGTTATGCAGTTCAGAACCTGAATAGCACCTGGGAAAACTCAGCGTCCTCGACTCTCGTGTTGGATGGATTCTCTTTGGATTCGTCAAATTTCCTCAAAGCCCTCTATTAATCCTAAACCGAATCAACTCTATCGGCAACCGTTTAACCAGGGAACCTTTCTTTATCAATGGCTTCCCAGTATACCAGCCTAAGTAAAGGCATCAAAACGAAAGATTGGAGCTGGAGATCCCTTTGCCTAGACACATGGCTTCCTGAAATAGTTGCGACACTATTCAGCATCGCGTGCTTCATTGCAATATGCGGCATTCTCATTGCCTATGATCAAAAGAGCCGACCGGAACTTTACTATAGCCTATCCTTGAACGCTATTATCTCGGTGTTGGCAACAGGCTGCAAATCATCCTTGATCTTCGTTATAGGAGAGGCTATGGGTCAACTAAAATGGGTTTGGTTCTACGCAAAGCCCAAAAGGCTTCTCGACATACAGACGCTTGATGTGCCAGTCGAGGGCCCCTTGGTTCGATCGCGACCTTGTTCCAGAAAACGAGACGATCACTCGCTTCACTTGGGGCAATAGTCATTATACTTCTGCTTGATTTTGATCCGTTCATTCAGCAGATCATTAGCTATCCCACTCGGTTAACTGTTATGCACGGCGGCACAAGTATTGCAACAACGAAGAGGTTGGATTACTTCGCCCCTGCGATAGACTATGACTTTGTCTACTCCTCAGGGCTTTGGTCTGAGGACACCATGCTGAACCCCAGTTGCGCATCGGGAAATTGCACCTGGCCGAAGTTTCGATCCACTGGAATGTGTAGCCAGTGCTCTGATATCACGAAATCTATGGACCTCAAATGCGAAAACGTCGGGGATATTTCTGAATCTCCCCAAGACACCGATCAAATAATTCGAACTGTGAATGTGACATGTCACCTTGCCCCCCACAAGGAAATTCGACCCAATTTAACCTACAATTTGCCTTTTCATCGGCGCCCTCGTGGTCGTACTACGAAACGAGTGGATTCTCTTGGCATGTCTTTTCGGCCTATAACTCTAAAAACATTTATGTGAAACATCCTCAGACCAAGAATCAGCCGTTTACTTGGCCAGGTGATCCGCTGATGGTCGTCGCGTATGCTGAGATAGGGTACAATGAAGATTACCTCGACTTGGATTTCATTGGTGGGATCAGAGTTGGCAAGGCGACGGAGTGTAGCCTTGAGCTTTGTCTTCTCGAATACGAAGTGTCTGTCGAAAATGGCACCCTGGATATGATTACCTCAGTCCTCGATTACGGCCAATTATTTTGGAGAAACAGTTCTGCTCCTGGAATCCCCTTGCGCCACCTGTCTGCTACAAGGCGAGTTCGAACAACCCTAGCATACTGTAATGTTTCCAGGGCGGCTTTCATGCGAACTAATCGGCTAATGCTGGCCAGAGGGTAGATTAAGCGCAGGATACAAAAATGATCGGAGGGGAGCTGAAACTCTCACCAAATGTCCAATGAAAGTTGGAGTTTTCAGCCTTAAAAGCAAACAATGGCAGGGATACGCTGCTTTTACTGCAACGGCTTACATAAAAGCTCTTCTTGGTGTGCTTCCTGAATACAATAATGCGAATAATTCTAGAAAGGAACCAGCCCACCGCATAGCCCCTTCCCCAAATGACCTTGAGCGCATCAATGGCATTCTGCTGTGCATCCCCTCCACACGTATTGACGGGCTCTTAGCACTGGACACTGGGTCTGAAATGAGTTTCTCTTCCAGATATGGGTTGAAACAGATGATACCCCGTTGCTGTGGGTGTCAGGTAGTCCAGGATATGGCAAAAGCTTTATCGTGCAGAACTTCATCCCTCATGTTCAAGAGTTTTCTCCTCAACACGCCACTCGGAGAAATCAGATTTCAATTGGGTATTTATTTTTCAAACATATAGTTACCTATCCCGAGACAAGGAAGTCCCCCCGTATATTGAGAGATATCGTGTTCCAAATCTATCGGGACGGACCCTCCTATAGGGATTATATTCATACCAAGTGTCCTTCGCCGGATGACAATAAATCCATTTAGGCTGTATGAAGGGTTTTGTTGATGGATTGTTATCTCAATCCCCTCGAAGGAGCTGGTAGTAATGCGATCATTGTTCTTGACGGTGTGGTTGAAGCGTCTGAGGACCGTCGAGAGTTTCTCAGGCTAGCCTCAGACTTCGTACGCCGTGAGTACTAAAGCACGAGATTGTACTAGTAGAGAGTAGAAACTAACATATCGACTTAATTAGATCCTATTAAGTCTCGGATCAAAGCTGTTCTCCTTGGGGCGCTAGAGATATACGACGACCTAGTTGAAGCTTTGGATACGCCGATTTCAGTCATTTATGTCAACGCTAACAAGAACATCGAAGATATCACAATCTATGTTCGAAAGGCCATCCGCAAGTTCCGGTCAATAAGTCGGGTTCCGAAACCACAGCGCCTGTTAATTGAAAAGCTTTAATAGATAAGGCACGGGTCATGTTACTCTAGGCCAACCTAATGCTAACTAGGCTTAATGGGAGGACCAGGGCTAGCACCATTTTGTTCACCTCCCAGACGCTGTGTCACTTGTTCTCCGTGTTCTGGTTGCATCCCAATACTCGCCATATGAAAGGATAACGCAGGGACTTAAGACAATCGATATAAATGCCTAGTATCACGACAGTAGTACTGTTTTGGTTCAGGTTTTCGTTGTGAACTTCAGGGATTGGATGAGGTGGGACAGCGCCCAGCTTTCTTTGGCAGTAGCCGTCTTCGCCGAGTTCTATAACAACCTGCAATGGCTGGAGTGCGTGTACCAAGGTGCGATCGCAGAAAGAACTATGTAACTAGGGAGTATCGAGGTCATATGCTTCGTGAGGTTGCTCGCTTACCTATACGATAGATTTTTGGGCGATAAGGACAAAGCCATTCAGATTTGGAAGAGTATCATCTCCTAGCATATAGTACCCGACTCGCTGTAGTATAAATAATTTTGTAGTTCGATAGCCAGCCGGGCATTTATATAGGCGTATAGCATAAACTCAATAGGCGCGAGTAGGAGGCCAGGGAGTACTTCGTAGGATATATCCTATAAAGGACGCATAGCGTGTCCTCAGGTACATTTTTGCTATGGTTGGCGATGACGAAGATACTATTACGGTTCATCAGCTTAGTCGAGATGGCCAGGAGCTTTCGGTTGGGGGATATATGGCTGCTATTGGGAGATTTGGATGTGATTTGATTTTGAGTTTTGATTATTTCGTTACATTTGAGTGATCACCTGGGTTGGCCCTCGCTTTTCGGTTCACAACTTCTAGTTTAGCGTTCACTTATGAGACCAAAAGGTCCATAGATACTGCCCACCGACATTCTCTCTCTCTCTCTCTCTCTCTCTCTCTCTCTCTGTGCGTCTATCACGAGCTTATATAAATCCATGCTTTCCTTCCCTTTAACGTTGTCTAGAATCATACTTCTTCGCCTGGGAAGGTCAATGCGGTCTCGTCCTTCTCAACCCGTCTATACTACGTCCCTTCTCATCCCCCGCCACCAACCACCCATCGACAGTTCCTAGTCCCCTTTCACTCTATAATTCTCTCCCACACCTAACATGATACATACGACCATAGGATGTGAAAAAGAGGGCTTCCCGTCCGCTCAGCCGTACTTAAGCCACATATTCTGCACAGTCAATACTCAATTAATAATTATCTCCCACTATGTGTATGGATGTTCTGCCGGACCTTCTCCTATGATAGTCCCATGTAGACCTCCGCAGAGCCCATAAAGCCCAAATCCCAGCCTAACCCAACCCACAAATAGGTTAGGTTTGGGGCCCGGTCCTTAGGCCTATCGATGGGCTATAGGCTTATACCTCGAGCCCACTATAGGTTAATGGGTTGGGCTTTGAAGGTTAAGCCTATAGCCCACCGTGGGTTGGGCCGTGGGCCTAGGGTCCGGGCCCATTTATGGGCTTTGCGGAGGTCTAGTCCCATGATATGACTGACCGCCTCCAGATCTCGACTGTCTTGGTCCACATATGACCCATATAAGAGCCTCACCCTCTACTTTAGGCTTCGATCCACCTTCCAATCGATTCTCTCCCACCCCCCATACCCACAGCACCCATCCAACGCAGCTCGAATGACATCCTCGTTGCTCTGGTTCCGCAAGGGCACCGCCCCTGGAACTATTATCACCCTTGATAAACCCCTCTCTTCCCGGTGGAAAATTCTTGAGAAGCTGAATGAGTGTGACGATCAGGTATGACCCCTCTCGTCCCATTACAGGATCCTCGAGAATCTGAACGAGCATAACTCGTAGGGCACTGTGGAGCAAAATAACGCATATGGCTTCCGTTCTTTCGCCTCGGCTAAATTCCTATGTTGTGATCCTCAACGACGTGCAACGAAAGCCTTTATGCGAGCCTACATTCAAGTTCCCCATCGAACAACTGAAATAGATGATGCGGACACCAGAGGCCAATAAGCCATGTCATGGACCCCGCAAGAATTAGCTTCCCTGCTCGATCTAACTGAAAAGGGCTCAAATATCACACCAAAGCTCCTCGGATACAAGACCGGTCCTCAGGATCGCTCAGGGCTAGTTCCGGGTGGGTTCATCATATGGCTTGTTTGGGAAATTGTTCCGGGGATACGCCTTGGCGATAGTGACGGCGCTGGTCCATTTTGGGGTCTTGAAAGCTATGAAAGAGAGAAAGTCCGTACATCCTTTCTTAACGCTCTTGCGTAAGTTCGATATTCCTTCTCTCTTTATCACTGAATCTAATTATTATTAATGTTTTAGCAAGCTGAAGGAGAATGGGTGGTACCCGACCGTGCCTAGGGCAAGAAGTCTAGTTTGGCACCGAGAGACTCAAACACTGTATGCGAACCACGTTATTTTAGCTTACTTACTGATTCAATATAGCTACTTCATCGGTCGCTTCAGCGAGACCATGAAAGGTGAACCCAGACGTTTTGCTGAGCCTGCCCAACGTATAGCGACTTTTGAGCTTGCTTTACCGGACGTTCAAGTCAGATGGAAAGACTGGGATAAGGATACTTCACGCTGGAAATGGTAGCTAAGGAGGAAGTAGAATGTTCCGTTAAGCCTCACATTGATCTTTGCTTTTCTATGCTAGGAAACAATACAGTCACGTAATTGACAGAAGTGGCGAACTAGATGGTCCCCTCTTAGGCGTCACGCGTCCAAACCTGGTTCCACATGCCTGTCCCTGTGTTAAAGCTAAGTCTGCGAGGGCTAGCAATCCAACATGATAAAGACTCTGACAAAATGACGCTGTTCTACCCGATGTGCTTCCTCTGTCGCGATGGTAAATTACTGGAGAATACTCCAGTCCCCATACTCGACCGACATCCGCCTTTCGTAGGAAGATTGTTTGCTCATAGGTGGTTAAGAATCCATATTTCAGGCGTCCCTCAAGCATATATCGCGCAATTTGGCCTATAGGTATATGTTAGTAAGAATCTCTTCCTATCAATAGCTTATAATACTGACCTAGTCCGTGCCTCAACTTTTGTTCTGTGTCACCATTCTCAAATTCATCAACTAGGTTGTCGAGACAGTGTTCTGCTGCCTGTTTGTTTGTGGGGATGAAGGCTTCTCCTACCTCTCTCTTTGTTTCTCTCTCTCCCAGTTCTCCTTTAGCTCGCAATATAAGTGATTGACTGTGCTTCCTATTTCCTACAGCTGATACACATCCATGGATGAGTTATAGAAATCATAGAAGATATGGGGAGTCTGTTCTGGTTCAACATTTTTATAGACATCTATAGTACCGTATCTAGTTAGCCTTGCTGTTTGAAGTAGAGTGACGTGATGGGCGATTTTGCACTCACCTTTGTTTTCGCATGTCCTTGTCTATAAATATATACGCAGGCTTTTCGCTAATACAAGTCAACACAAGATAAGCCCTATTACGATACTTGATGGGATGTTTTCTCTATTCTGGGGTTCTTAATATCTAAATATGTAGGTAAGTCCACGAGGTAGTAACCTTACCTAGCTAGGTAGCCCTGGGCCTCGGGACCACACCTGGGCACCTGCAGGTGCCCGGCTTACTAAGAAAGCGCAGTATTGGGGGCCACGCTAGGGGAGTCTCAGACGATCATAAAACAAGCAAATTCGACACTTTCCCCTTTCTCCTATCTCCCAATTATGTTATCCACTAGGACACAGATCCGGAACTCAAATTTCTTCTTGCAAAGTGCAATTTCTCTCAGAAACACCCGCTCCCTCAAATCATCCCTCTTTGCACATCAACATCAAATTCAAAGAATGTCTTCATCAGACTACTCAGCAAGTACCCATGAAAAAGCATTAGCAGCGCTGGCGCGATTAACCAAACCCGATCCACCCCAACATCCATCCAAGCGCACTTCTGATAAAGAATCTCGCAACAATCTCGCTGATCACATCGAGAAAGCTCTAAAAGAAGCTAGCTTACTCACCTAGCGCTTCCCTATTTATCGATGCACATATCAAGATGATGCCGACTGGGCCGAATTTTTAAATCGGTACCGATGACATATCTCCGACATGCTCGAGAACTATAATGGTCTAGACATGCTTGATAGCTTCCAGACTACCGTTGTCGAGGACCGGGCACTTCTCGAAGGTGCAAGCACGGCGACTATCCGTGAGCATTTCCAGACTGGGCGACGACTGCTATTCAGCAAGAGTCGAGCTCTGGCTCGCCTGATATGATTCGGTACTTTAATTTTCGGGTGGCGCGGTATCGGTTCTGTCTTTTTGTTGATGAGGAGTCTTTGCAGAGTGTTCTGAGGGCACCTGTTGACGACTGCATCAATAAGGATGCGTTCGTGAATATGCTGTATGGGTGGTGGAAGCTTGAGTCTATCGAATATTTCAGCCAGGAAGATCTGGAAGATGTAGATGAGCCGGGCGACCTGCTTGATGATGGGTATGAGGCTGTCGAAGGTTGTACTTTGAAGGATGTTGGGTGGATGAAGGTTGCTTTGTGTGATGCGAGGCTGGAAGGATTTCAAAAGATGGGCGAGGATGATGAGTGGGAAAGATCATATGAGCGTCCTCATGGGCTTTGTTATAATATCTCTAATTTCTATGCTCGGCGATAGAGTGCGGTCAGATTGAGTAAGAAATGAAAGGAATCAAGTATATGACGCGGGCGAGATCGGCGAGCCACATCTGCCACCTATGTGTGAATTTTATATCTAGCAAGGTGCGCATCCTGGGACTTGAGGAAATGTTGAACGAGTCAAATGCATGCCACAATTCAATTTGACCAAGCTCTTCGTATCGTCTGTCAACACTCGATCGGCGCGCTGAGTCTGCGAGTGAAGAAGATCGTCGGCATCTGGCCCGTGCTATGGCTCGAGAATTTCGTTGATTGTTAAAGACATGGTGTGGTTGTGCCAACCATGTTAGCGAAAGAAAACCACGAAGCAGAAAAGCGGCTGAAGTATGTGTTGGTAAAATATGTTTGGTGCCTGATCTGCCAGGCAAAAGTGTTTATTTGCCTTAGACATCAAATTCGACAGAACCTGCCTTTCATATATGTAGGTAGTAGATAGATTGGCTCTCACTTCTCTCTCTCCCTTCTCTCCCTGTCCGTTCCCTTTCGTTAGGAATCTGATACACTGTTTCTCCATATATTAAATCTCCACTGTTTCCTGATTCCATAAAAATGTGCAAACTTAAGACTGATGAAATAATTGTAAAATAAGTGTTTGCTTAGAAATGAATTTACTAATTTTCTGTGGGTAAGGACAGTGCCTAGAGCCATTGGGAAAGAACTAAATGTGTCCCTCGATCCAAAAGATTCATCTATCGTGGTCCAATATGTATGAGAGCCATAGTCCTATAGAATTAGGAAAAGGAGGCGTGAAATGAAATATTTCTCCTCTACACTCTATAAGTACAGCCAGTGTATTACTTTCGTATCATCACTAACCTGCTCCAAGCTTTAGCATCACATATCCGTATAGTGAGCAATCCGCATAACGGATGTGTATAGGTGCCAAGAGATAAATGTTTACTGTAGTCATATCCAATGATATATTACCGTTATTGACGACCGCATTTTAACATAGTCCGATTGAGGGAGTAACTTCATAACAATCGGCTCATAGTTGACGAACCATGGACCCAGTAAATACTCTTCTAATCGCGCGGTGTTGCAGATTTTTCAACTATTTTTTGAATGACTTTTACCTCTATTTAACTATCTATTGATCTCGAGGCTTCAACGTGGTTATCAACGTAATACATGTTAGTTAGCCGTTGTTCGAAAGCACATAACTAGGTAAGATTTCAATGTACCTAGGCCAGACCGCCCTCGAGAGACCCCGGATTGAGGGGTGTGGGGCGTTGCCACGGGTACTGCCGTACTAAAAACTGTTTGTCAAGTCACAAGTGACCATTTAAAAGGCGGTATCCTATTTAGGAGGCGGTAAATATACCATCCAGTTTTTTTTTCTTTTCTATCTCTGACTTTGTGAACCCCGCCAATCCTCTCCATACGCCGAAACCACGATCATAATGGCTCCTAACGTCAAGGACGAAGCGCCTCACAACAGCTTTGACGTACGTACCAACATATTCCTCCGGAGTGCTAAAATGGCAGGCTTAAAACTCACTTGTCTTCGCTCTCCAACTTGCTTCTATGGCTGTGCAGCCACGATCGATTTCAAGGAAGGGATTGGCTAACACTTAAATTTCTAGACTATACTCGTTCTCGATTTCGGCGTATGTATCGGCGGTCCCCTCTGCCTGTCTGCCTTCTGCCCTTCTGCCCCTCTACTCCTTCGGTCCCGTTCAGATAACGGAGGTTCATTTCTACTGCCTGGCTGTTGAAACTACTTCCAATGGCAAATGCTGACTCATTGTCGAAGTCTCAAACGAGCCATCTTATCCTACGTCGGCTTCGGGCTCTCGGTGTCTTTGCTGAGCTACTTCCGTGTACCACTAAGATCGCTGATCTGACATGGAAGCCCAAAGGAATTGTCTTCTCTGGAGGTATGAAGTCATATGCATAGTTTATGCCGAGGTCTGACTGAACTACTAGGTCCTGCTTCCGTCTACGATGAGGGCTCACCCCGTAAGGTTTTCGTCCCCTGAATGTCCTATTGCCTATGCTCATATTCATATGCGCAGATGTTGACCCCGCTGTTTTTGACCTTGGCGTACCTATCCTGTGAGTGTGCTTTTTGGTTATTGTTTAATCTTAAATTGACTAACACGCGCTTTATAGTGGTATTTGGTATGGCTTGCTTTCGCCCACCCAGGTATAACGCTGGCACTAATCCCATTCACCTAGCTATGGCTGCCAGGAGATTGCGTGGAGAATCGACTCAAAGAATGTTGCCCGCGGAGAGGCACGAGGTTTGCAACCTTTGAAACATTATCTGAAATCAATTCTGACACTTCTCTCGCAGAGTATGGTCACGCCGACGTCACAATCACTAAGGTTAATAGCAATGTCGACCGGCTTTTCGCTGGTTTGGGGGATGAGATTCCTGTATTCATGTCCCACTATGACAAGCTAGTTAACTTGCCTACGGTCAGTGAAATGAGCTCTTTTCCGGGCCACTTTTATTAACTCTAATAGGATTTCGTGGTCATTGGTGCCACTAATAACTCCGAGTATGCTAGCATCGCTCACAAGGAGAAGCCTATCTTTGGTTTGTCTTAAGCTGTCTGTCTTGGGGCCTAGTAAGATGCTAACGTTAAAAAAAATATAGGCGTACAATTCCATCCCGAACTCGAACACGTTCGTCACTTGACCCCTTGACACTACATCCTCTAATACTATCTAGACACCCCGCGGAACCGAGATCCTCCGTAACTTCAGTGTTGATATCTGCGGAGCTCAGCCGAATTGGAAAATGGGCGACTTCACCCAGCTCGAGATCGCTCGTATCCGAGAGCTTGTTGGTGAGCGAGCTCTCGTACTCGGCGCTGTATCCGGAGGCGTTGATAGCACTGTCGGAGCAGCTCTAATGCGCGAGGCTATTGGAGATCGCTTCAAAGCCATCCTCATCGACACCGGATGTATGCGTCTGAATGAGTGCGAGACGGTCAAAATTAACCTCGGAAAGCACCTCGGCATCAACCTCACCGTTGTTGAGGCTGGCGAGCTGTTTATGAGTCGTCTTGCGGGTGTCTCTGACCCCGAAAAGAAGCGGAAAATCATTGGGTCGACTTGTGGGTAATTTGCTGTCATGGCTTTGAGATATGGAACTGACAATATCGAAGTTATTGATCTGTTCGAGAAAGAGGCTATCAGGGTACGTTCGATCTTCTCTAAGAGACTTTCGCTGGCTAACAGGACCAAGATCGAGAAAGAAGCAGAGAATACCCCTAACTCCGGGAAGGTGGAATTCTTCCTACAGGGAACATTATACCCCGACGTGTAAGTCGTTTTAATCTAACTGCTAAGTCCAAACTAATGGTATTTTAGTATCGAATCTTTGAGCTTCCGCGGGCCCTCGGCCACTATCAAGAGTAAGCACGCCAAGAGAGCAGAGGACTGCCCCAATGGCATAAGTCATGCAAAAATAGACAAAATCTGACCTGAAAATAGCTCACCACAACGTTGGCGGTCTGCCTGAGGTAAGCAATACCCCCCACCCTCCCCAAACGTACCTTAACTAATCAGTATATAGCGGATGATGAACGGCGTAAGTCGAAGTAGCCTGGTATCGTTTGATTTACTTACTGACCAACATGGCTCGTTTAGCAAGGCTTGCGTGTAAGTCTACTGCCCATCTATCTCTTCATTAACGCAAATGCTAATGAAACTTCTACTATAGCTGATTGAGCCCCTCAGACTTTTATTCAAAGATGAAGTTAGGGTATGCTAATCCTAACATTGAATTGTATCTTCAATTACTAAATTTTGTAGGCAATTGGTCGCCAGCTCGGCATACACGAGTCCCTCGTCAACCGTCACCCCTTCCCGGGCCCTGGCATTGCCATTCGCATCCTCGGCGACGTTACCAAGGAACGAGTGGAGATCGCTCGCAAGGCCGACAACATTTTCATCACCAAGATCAAGGAGGCCGGCCTTTACGACCAGGTAAGTCGAGCGAGTCACAAAAGCGAAGACGGGTGAAAGCTAATTATTCTCTCTTAGATCTCTCAAGCCTTCGCCGGTCTCGATACTAATCGCAGTGTTGGTGTTTTTGGTGATCAGCGAGTTTGGGGTTACATCGTCATTCTCCGCGCCGTTCGTACTAAAGATTTCATGAGCGCAGACATATTTGACTTCGATACCTCCTTCCTCAAGGTGAGCACCCCATCCTCATACTCCTAAAGGGCTAGTACCATTTCCCTCCTACATTTACTGACCTGTCTACCCCAGGATGTATCTCGCACCATTTGCAATCAGGTCGAGGGCGTTGCCCGTGTTGTCTATGATTTGTAAGTAGAAGTCATTCCCTCTATTGTGCTCGAGCCTTATGCTAACATCGTCTTCCTAGAACATCCAAGCCTCCTGGCACCATTGAGCTCGAATAGGCGACAAATGGAAGGGAGACAGAATACAGATCACTTACGCTGCGGGAAAGCGAAGGGGACGAGACTCGAATGATCTGATTGAGACCAAAATGGGGATATGATTGGGGAGAAAGACTGTAAACACATCAGGGGACAAACCACAATCAGTCATGACGATAGAAATTGAATTTTATGGCGTTCAGAGACTGCTAGACAGGCACACTGTACGAAGACTTACAGCAAAATCAGGGTTCAAAACTCCGTTTAGAGGATAGTTGATGCCTCATTTTAGAATGGCAGAAGGATTAACATGCCTCGATTACTATTACACATGCTTTAATAGCCACAGTACCCTGCTAGTGCTGGTGTTTATTAGGTCCCAACAACGAATCTTTTGACTCCATATCAAAATCCAAGTATCACCATATTTTAGGTGTTGACGACTCCAACTAGAGGTCAACGCCCTGCCATCCATTCCATTGAAGATATGACACGATAAGGTCCCGGAGAAATACTTTCGATTAGTAATTTTTGAACTTCCCGGGGCTAAATCTGAATCCAAACAGGACATGCAAGATACGCACACTAATTTCAAAATCAAAAGCTTGGCGTACAGTAGGACCGAATTTCCGGTTGCAATGCGGGCCAGGACCACGTTGTTGATCTCGAGACCGCATAGTAGCATATCAAGGTCACTACGTGCAAATACAGAAATACGGCGCTTCTTCACAACGATGTCCTTTTCGGCTGGGGTAACATTGGGTACTATCGGCGAATATGCAGCATTTTAGGATCTAGTCTCGGGATAACTTGGCTAAAAAGACACTTTAACATAAATCTAATTTTGAAAAGATAGCCAATAGGAAAAACAAGCTCCGTCTAATAAGCAAGGCAGACGGATTTATGGGCTGCGTTCGTTGACGTAAAGTATGTGCTATTTTATGCTGCATGCCTTCTGCCTACATCTCTGGATCGTCGCACCACTGAGCGGCATAATAATATAGTGACGCCGAAGGCAAAGCGTATCCCAGAAACCATGGTGATCGGCATGGTGCTGATCTGCGTTCCCACATCTCCGAACTGCATGCCCGAACCTCCCGCTAAGAACATTCTAGTGTCCGGGATCAAATTTCCAAGCCTGCAGTGCCTATCTAAGGATATTGGTCTGGAGTTTTATGTTCCACACAGCCATTCTACATTCTATCATCTACCGTCTCTTGCTAAACCCCGATAAATTTCCTCATTCAGTTATTTTGCATCACCGTCCCGATATGTACATCTCCGAGCAACAAATTACCGCCGAATGTACGCAACTCCGAGCCGACCCCATAAGGCCGAGAACCAACATATTATTTATATCATCTGCCTGTGCACGGTTTAGTTCAGTAATTATAACCTTTAAACATGGATACCTTACCCAAGATTGCCATCATCGGCGGTGGACCTGCTGGTCTCACCCTGGCAAATATTTTGCAAAAGAATAGCATTCCCTTCTCAGTCTTTGAACATGATGCATTCCCCAACGAACGGGACCAAGGAGGTACTTTGGATTTGAATCCAAAGACAGGTCAGGCAGCGCTCCGCGAAGCCGGTCTATGGGATGCATTTATCCAGCATGCACGGCCCGAAGGCGATGTTCTCAAAGTGGTCCAGCAAGATGGCGTGGTGCTCTGGGATGGAAACACGTCGCAACCACCTGTACGCAATGACAAAAGTATGTCCCATAGCCCAGAAATCGACCGTGGAAAATTAAAGGAGATCCTTCTCCAGAATCTGGATGGGAGGAACGTCCATTATGACAAAACACTCGCCAGCGCTGTTCCCGGCGAACGAACCGACAGCTGGGACTTGCATTTCCGTGATGGATCCGTGGCAAAAGATTTTGATCTCATCGTGGGCGCAGAAGGGGCTTGGTCCCATACGCGCAAGCTACTTACCGATGTCGAGCCATTCTACTCGGGAATCACGGCGATTGAGTTGTGGGCGCTGGACGTCAACCAGAATCACCCCTGGATGGTAGATTATGTCGGCCGTGGTAGCCTGTTTTCCTTCGATGCAGACAGAACCATCCAAATTCAGAGGATAGGGGATGGTAGTATCCGGACCTACGCATGCCTCAGGGTGCCGGAGGGGTTTACCAAGGACTGCGGCATTGATTGGACGCAGCCTGATATTGCCCGCAAGGAATTGGTAGAACGATACTACAACGATTCCGCAATTGAGTTGAAGCGAATGATTTTGGAAAGTACCGACAAATTGATTCCGCGCCCACTTTACATGCTTCCTGTCGGAATCAAATGGGATCCACGACCTGGAGTGACTCTCCTGGGAGATGCCGCCCATTTGATGACCCCATTTGCCGGAGTTGGTGTGAATGCAGCCATGCTTGACGCACTGGAACTTAGTAATACCCTTGTATCTTTGAAAATGGGCAAATTTCCATCATTGAGCAAGGCTATTGAAAAATACGAGCGCGAGCTATTTCCTCGTGGGCAGAAATTTGCCCAAAAGACAGTGAAAAACATGGAAACTCACTTCAGTGCGGATGGGTGTAATCACCTGGTATGGCAGTTGAGGCTCGGTGGTTTTTGATTCTGTTCATGTTCTGTTCTAGGAATTTTTATTTTTGTATGGCATAAAAAGCATCATTTTATAGGGCCATGGGGCCAAGTTATTCTGCGCCGAATGAGTTACAATATGTGGTGTACACTATTTAGTTAGTTAATGCTAAGATAAGGCACTAAATGATTAAAGATAAGGCATTCGGCGTTGAGCACCATACACGGTCATCAGGCATATGAGACGCGAATACGGATTTTATTAATGTGGATTGTACATAGAAACACCTAGTATTGTACCTTCTTGTGCATATAGTTTTTCAACCCGTTTAATCAGGCTTAGTTAGTGACTCAATTACTTCCCCATATTGTGTCAGTTTGAAGGGCGCTCTATGTTTCACCTATTTTATTTATTTATTCATTTTCGGACCTCTACGGAAAACAAGGCCGATATCGCTACTAGGTTGATCATGGTAATGGTTGCTGATGGAGGGATAGTATATACTAATAGAGTATTTGACACATTTCTAATATTGCGACATGATGGCGTTTTATCAATAACGTGCTACTGGATGAATATTACTCTAAGCCACATATTTCCCCGCAGCTATAAGATCTAGCAGTAATCCCATTTTCCCCGCTCATCAGCAGAAACAAAATGGGTAGCATAACAACAACTCCGTTTCCAGATCCTTTTCAAGGTGTCCCAGCGGCCCGAGCAGCAGGTAAATAATACAATTGACACATTCCTAAACCTAAACTAAGAAAGCATGTTTAGATGGCCTCGCAGCTCTCGTTGGGAAATTCCGAGCCGATACTGATCCCAACAGAACTGATCTCCTTGTGGGCGTGTACAAAACGGACGAAGGTAAGGCATACTCGCAGCCAAGCGTGAAAGAGGTATATATATGACTTCCCAAAACCATTCTACAATCCGCAATACATCACTAAATGTTGGATATTTATATTACAGGCAAAAAGCAGAATATTCAATGATCCTGATTGGCATCATGAGTATCGAGCTTCCGCTGTTGGTTCCCAGCCCTATAGGGACCTGAGTTCCAAGCTGCTTTTTGGTGCCGACCACCGTCTTTTGCGTGAAAAAAGGTAAAAGAAGCGTGATATGTCCCTTACAAAACAGATCAAGAGCTGATTTCCCTTCTTAGAATAGTATCAGCCCAGACTCTTGGCGCGTGTGGCGGATGCCATGTCGGTGCAGTTCTGTTGAAAAAGCATTATGGACCATGGAATGAGACTGGAAACGCCGAGATTTTTCTTCCGACCGATTCCTGGTGTAAGTCGCCTTTTCATGATACATACGAAAGTAATTCTGACCAGATCATAGTGAATCATCCTTACGTATTCCAGTCTGCAGGGATTAAGACCAGTCTTCTGCCGTACTTTAGCAGCAAGACAAACACCTTTGATTTTGAGAAGTTCTCAGACGCCATCAAATCCTTGCCAACTCAATCCGTCATTCTTCTCCAGTCTGGAGCCCAGAACCCAACTGGATGTGATCCATCACCAGAGCAGTGGCAGGAGCTAGCCTCCATCTTCTCGGAGCGCGGTCACTTGGCTTTCTTCGATGCCGCATACCCCGGATTTGCCTCAGGTGACATTGACGCGGACCTTGCAGGCGTTCGCTTGTTTGCCGAGCAGGAAATCCCATTTATTTTCGTCTCAACATACGGAAAATCCTTTGGGCTTTACAGCGAACGTGTTGGGATTATTTCGGTTCTTGTTCCAAGTGAGCAAGCAGGAAAGAATATCGAAGCGCAATTCAGTCTACTTGCACGATCAGAGTCTGGCGCACCACCCGACTTCGGGGCGAAGATTGTCGAAACGATTCTATCGGATGAGACTTTGGAGCGCCAATGGCGACAGGAAGTGCGCGACATGGCAAACCAACTCAAGCACCGTCGGGTTGTGCTAAGGGAAGCATTGGAGAAATTGGAAACCCCAGGTAGCTGGCGCCATATCACTGAACAGAACGGAATGTTTTCGTATGCCTTATCAAGATCGAACTTTGGGAGACTCATCATACTGACCTTATTTAGATATGTTGGACTGTCCGTCGAACAAGTCACTCTCCTCCGGGACAAGTACCATGTGTATCTTCAAGACTCTGGAAGAATCTCTATCGCGTATGTCTCAAGAGCATATTTTGGGAGTACGCGTTAAGCTGACATGTTTTTTTTCCTTTAGTGGGCTCAACAGCTCCAATATCGACCACACTGCTCGCAGTATCAGTGCTGTTGTTAAAGCTACGATCTAAGTGAACTTTAAGGGGATCGTCCTATCGATTAAGCAATATGGACAGGAAAAAGGGAACTCGCGGGTAAGATTTTCACTTATTAGTCATATCGTCAAAGGCGTGGGCACTGCAGTGTCAGGTCCTTGTTTAGACTAAGAGAGCAAAATTATACGCATTATAGTTCTTCGAATAAGAATTGTTTTCTAAGACCGTAGCTTTCATAATTTACAACCCAATGACAGGAATCGAAAGCCCCATCACATTCTTAGATATGACCTGCATGGCCATGGTGACTTCCATGTCCATCGTCTCGAGGGCTTGCATCCGCAGCTGCAGCAGACCAGGCATGCAATTTGTCCCAGTTCCTGCATGTATGAACTTGTTCGAAGTTGGGCTGTGACATTACTTCACTTAGCAGTTTCCTTTTGTTTCTATCAAAAAACGCCAAAACTTACGAGAGACATATTGATCGCGGGCTCATAGTACAAGATAACAGGTGTCATGTCTGCACTACACTGAATGCTCTGTCGAAGATAATCCAAACAGTGGTCTTTGTGGATGTCAAACGTCAGCTCGTTATACAGGGGAACGGACTTGTGGTATCAAAAAATTGAAGAGAGCTTCGAACAATTGCACAGAATAAAAGTCGGATGAAGACGAACCTATGTGAATCTTTGTCCCGTGCGGACTCAAGTCTAAGGTAGGGTAATATTCTGGTGAAAAGGCCTTCCGTACTTGGTTCTAATATGCCATTGGTGTTATTTCCATCATGAAGTAAACAGTGTGATATAGGAGAGAGTGGACGTACTATGCAGTGCAGTTGATGAACAGAATCCAACCCGGTTTCATAGGCCTGGTACTCAGTGCGGAAGAATGTCCTATCTTTGACATCGGGCACATCGGATTCCGGTAGATTCACAATTTGGCCTGTCAGATGGTTAATAAAATTGCTGTTAAATATTCAGCCTGGGAAGCTAATTTCCCAAGTTCTGTATTCGGACTAACCATATAGCAAGTCATCCCATGCCTTGTCAATCTCTGGCGATGGGGTACCCACATACTTCGGCCCCGGTGTGTCCTTTATATATACACTTCCATTGGGGTGAAAGTGAATCCCACCAGTGAACAACACTTGCTGTAATTCTATCTGACTTTTGGCAGCGACTGGGTTGTTTATTAGAACCAGTATTAATAATCGTATATGTTTCACAAATGTGCAAGCACTTGGACATGGAACAGCCATAACTTACCAAGATCAGTGTCGAAGCCATTTTCAAATTTACCGTAACACTTTGAATCTTGCATGTAAATCTGAAAAAGAAGGAAGATTATCATGACCGCTAATGCGATAAGCACCACGAGAAGGTTGACGACAACTCTTGTGAAAAGAAGCCCATATGGTTTTTGTTGAGAGTTAAAGTCAATCCCATTATCATTTCTCTTGTTGTGATGAGGTAGCAGATGATCTATGTCTTCTTCTGCATCTTCCGAATTTAATGAATCATTTAATTTTGGTGTTCTTATTTCGAGCCACTCGGGGTAGCGCATGTTGGTCAGATATGCGCAGATGGCAGTGAAGATGAGGAGAGATGTTTTGAATGCAGACGTAGTAATTATGACAAAATGCGAAAAGAATCGGTAAAGGGTATCAGACTCGAAGGATCAGGCTAGTGGTGCAATGTTTAGATTAGATATGGACGTGTTTAGTCAACATCCCATAATCAGGCCAGAGTAGGCAAAGTCTGGGGGAGAGGTGAAGATACTTCCAATTGGCTGATAAGGTGAAGAGGATTGTTGAGTCAACAATCAATAACAATATCGTCAACAGATATTTTATGTATCCGTGGCCTAAAAACAAAGCCTTTTTCTCATGCCATCTAAATAGGCTGTGATCACCCTCTAGAACAAGATCTCTCCAACACCACTCAGATCCAAACCTGCTCCGAAAAATTCCAAGTTTCTTTCGACAAGATGAAGATCACTGCAGCTCTTGTTGCCGCCGTGATGGCCTCTTCCGTTGCTGGCTCGCCTATTGTCAAGCAGGCTGGTGAATCAACTAGCGCTGTCACCAACGGAGATGACTATGAGCAATCACACATCTATACCCGCAGCCCCAGTGATGACTACAAACACGAGCAATCCATGTACGGCAAGCGTAATGATGGAGATGATTACGAGCACCGGGACTCCATCTATAGCAAGCGCGGCGATGGAGACGATTACGAGCACCGGGACTCCATCTATAGCAAGCGCAGCGATGGAGATGAGTACGAGCACCGTGATTCCATCTACAACAAGCGCGGTGAGGGAGATGACTACGAGCAAGAGCACATCTATTACGCCAAGCGCGGTGATGGAGATGATTACGAGCACCGGGACTCCATCTATAGCAAGCGTGGCGATGGAGACGATTACGAGCACCGGGACTCCATCTATAGCAAGCGCGGCGATGGAGATGATTACGAGCAAGAGCACATCTATTACGCCAAGCGCGGTGATGGAGACGACTACGAGCACCGGGATTCTATCTACATCAAGCGCGGTGATGGAGACGACTACGAGCACCGGGAATCCATCTACAGCAAGTAAAGTGACACTGGCTTCCCATTGAATTTTGAGCTCAGCGGTAAAGCGACCGCATCTTGGTTCTCTCGCATCTGTCCTCAAGTTGACTCTAAGGGGGTTATTCATGCGGTTGAAACATCCCGAATACTGTGGCCTCAGGTCCTTTGTGGGATTGGAGAAGCATTTTGGAGGAGAAGATGTATGCTAGTCTAAAACTAGGTTAGAATATTTCTATTGGAAGTGTTGAAGAGCTTGAGTATTTCCACTTTAAGCATTAGTTGTCTAGTACTTACTTTGTTTATAAATATCCTCAGTCGAAGTATAGCGTATGATTAGAAACGCATTTTTAGAGAAAGGAAAGGCGGTAATGAAATAATGAAACTAGGTTGGATTGAATCGATTATTTTTAGAGAGATAAGAAGGCGGATCAAACTAGTATGAAGTGGATAGAGTATGGACCTCGGGAGTAATTCGTGAATCTGCACAGCGCTCGGGCCTTCTCAAGGGAAAGTGGAAAACCGGGAGATCCCTGTCAAGCACCGAATAGGGTTCAGCCTCAACTCATCAATCGACCTAATACCACGACTGAGCCAGCCGGTCTGGTTGATGGTACAAGTGTTGATCATACATGATGTGATAATGTAGAAGCTCGGGAGAGAAGAGAAGCTCCCGAACTATCTCCGAGTTTAGAGCCTAAGGCGCCAATTCCATAACAACACAGAATTACACAATTCTCTTCTGAATCTGCCGGGTCCAACAGGGGTCCCCTTGCCAGGGCCCCCACATCCCCCGGTATTCCTCACACCACCGCAGCCGCTGTGGCGGGCCCTCATTCTTGGCCGCGGACCGTCGGGCCCCGGTTGCATATAACCCAACGACCCGTTTAGTTCAAATATAGTATTATTGTGGAAGTGATCGGGTCAAATGTTTACTTATTTCCAAGATATTTAGTCTCGTTATTGTGATAAGATAAATTACAAGAATTTTGGACAAGTACCTTTTTTATACGACACCATCAAGCAAACGGTAACTATATCGAGAAATCTGCACTAAACTCATGCAGCCTAATACTTTAGTAGTGGCGGTGAGTAGCGTCTTAGGCTAGTTACCGAGCTGTAGAGTATGTAGTTGGTTATGTATCATAGTCGTCTTTGGGTAAACTCGTTTTACCATTTCCCCGTTTAGTCAAGTGGATGAGGCCCACCTAACCTGAATAGTATAATGGCTTCAGAGACCCTGAGTGAAACATACAATCCCTGCTCCTTGAATATTATAGCTAGCCAGTAACCACGCAATCTTAAGGTTTAACTACGCTGTACTCCTGAGGTTTTTTTTTTTCCTGGCGTCGGCTTGTTGCTTGTTCCCTAGATTGGTCAAAAGTGGGGTAAGCGTGAGGTATACTAGTCTAAATCAATCAGTTCACTATACGGAGTCCAGATATGTTCCGTCCTCCACTCTACAAGCGTATAAATACTGCTTTTTTGAGAAAGGGAATATGAGATAGGGCTTCTTCGTATCCACGTTGTATGTCGTGGCTGGATATCAAATTAAAAAGGCGGGGAGAAAGCAATAGGCTCACACCATTCCCTGCGCCAGTTTTGTCACCTAGATAATACCCTTAAAGCAGGTGGACACTATAACAATAGCGATTTTTGCTGTGCTAACTAAGGCCCAATAGGCGTCCTTTATGATGAGAATTTAGTCGAGTACAACATTCCTGGGAGGTTCGTTTCTCATAAATTGACCTGCCGGTGATACGAATGCCTCGGCATCCACTATACCTCTAGCCCCACTTCACTCCAGTGTGAGACTTTTAAGCAATGGCGCAGGTAGCAGCATAAATGGCGATATAGCGCTACTTTGCTTATCTGCTCTTAGCTCATAACCACTAGCCATTAGCTGCGAGGGGGTATGTGTTATCTGGATATTAATACACGCGCGATGTACGGATTGTAAGCCTACTACCACACCAATTACCCCTGGTTTTTTTTATCTTCACTTTGAAAATGGGTTCTTCTGAGGTAGGCTGAAGACCTATTCAATTATTTTCTCCGTAGATCCTTACTGATGCTTGGCGGGAACTAGGAGAGACGTGCACAGCTACGCGAATCACAGCGGAAACATCGCCAGCGCCAGCAATCTGAACTCGAGGCACTACAATCACGAATAAAGGCATTGGAGCATTTGCTGAATATTGTTTATGGGAGGAACGAAAAGCTTCAAGCCATGGTTATGGAATGCGTCACTTTATTGATCACGCGGGAACGACAAATTAAAGTCGGCAACTCATGTTGCTGTCAATCGAATAGTGCGCCGAACGATGCCACAAATATCCCGGTGGCTAGAACAGCTGCAGTTCCAGATGAGCTGTTGTTCAGCCAATTTTTGGGTTCATTAAAAGGGATTATTGATCATCCGGGGAGCATGGGAACATCAAATATCCCGGTAGCAACAAGGGCACCACTTCCCGATGAAGTCCTATTGAATCATATGCTGGACTCATCAATATTGGCTCATGGGAGCATTGAAGACCAGAGCACCACCTACACCCCGGCTACAACGGGAATCATTCCAGATGAATCCCCATTGAATCAACTGCTAGGAGGATTAGGGGCGACATTAGATGATCGTGAAATGATCCGCACAACCAGCATAGGGGAATCCTCAATACCAGGTGCTTCTCCTTCTTCCCTGTCCACCATGGAGGCTAGCACTCAGTTACCGATGCAAGGCATTGAAGATCGTGGACTCGCTTCTTTGGATCCCGATGCATTCCACAGTGTGCTCGATTCGACGGACGATTTTGGATTGGCTTACTTCGAAATGAGAGATAATAATAGGCATTCTTTCTAGGCGCAGCTGTCTGAGATTGGATCCATGTGCAATATTCGACGTTATTTATACAATGTCCTTTTCACCTTTGAGACACCAGTCAAGGATGATACACTCTAAGACTGCATCTGAATTCAAAGTGACTCGATTTCTGCCATATTTGTCTAATATATTCTTTGTACCAGATGTGTGTTTAAAACCGATGTATCATTTTCTCTACCGAGTTGTGTCCATATTAGATAGTGAGGAATAATGCGGCAAATAGTTTCTCCCAATGTCACCTTCAAGGAAGTCGCCATGGACTTCGGCATTTCTGTTCCTATAGTTTTATAGGTGATAAGCACTTTATCGCTCCTTCTTTATCATATTTGTTTGTCTGAATTTTTTTTTTTTTTTTTATAGCTTCGACCTGTTGCTGCACCGGCATAGAACTTCCACCACTCCCAATTTCATTCTTTTCTTTTATCAATACTCCATGTTCGTACAGCCATTATCAACTCTCCTTTTCTGAATTTGATCACTAAAATGGCCTCCATGGGCTTCGCTGAGCCAACCCTCCTCGAACTTGTTCCGACTCTTGTGGGTGAGTCCAACTTTTCTACGTGGACTACTTCACTCAAGTGGACCCTCGACTCGCGCGACCTTCGATATTACGAACTTCTCACTGGCGCCTGGGGCGAACCCCGGGCAGTCGACCCCACACAGCCTACTCCTATCGAAGTCGAGGCTTGTACCCAGTGGAATACTGCCAGTCGTTACCTCCTCCCGCTACTCAACGCCACGGTCCACCAGACGATCAAGTTCTACATTCTCGACGCCAATAATGCACGCACTGCATACGCCAACCTCCACCGCGCCTTCGCAGCCCGGTCTTACGAAGCTGGCTTCTCCAATTTCCTTAGGTTTATGAACACCACGTACACTTCCAACAGGCCTCAGGCATTCGTCAACGAGTGGCGTATGGCCCTCGGCGAGCTCCAAGAGTGCAATTCGACAAAGCTCACGCCTCTTCTCATCTTTTACCATTTCTTGAACGCCGTCAGCGTCAACACAGCCGTACACCCATGGCTCGACAGCTTCCTCAATTCGAAAGTCTCCACCGATACAACTATTGAAGCAACCTTTGCGGACTTTGTCGTTTCCGAGGACCGTCGCCTCAACACTCTCAATCAAGCTCACAACTTTAGCTTAGCTAAGGTTAATCATCTGCCGTTCTTTTGTCAGTTCCATAACCGCCAAGCCGGTCATTCCAGTGAGAACTGCTTCCGGAACCCAGCCAAGCAACTCCCTTTGGATCAAGTGGATATGGCTCCAGTTGCAGCTCCTGCTAAACGTACAGTCACAGAAGATCTGCCTGCACAGTAAACCAGAATCTTCACCAAGGGTGTTCATTTTAAGGGGGTTTCTCGCAGTTCTTGCTCACAAAGAGGGGTTAGAACTAGATAGTTGTTCAGAAGTCAGTTTTAGCGGGAATCAACTCAGTTCGCATGTTTCCATGCAATTTGACATCTTCTTTCTCGTGGCCAGCTACTCACATATCGTAAGAATTACTTTTATATAACGAGGGATGCTGAATAACTCCGCGAGTCCCACCTGGAGGCAAATTATTCACATAAAAATTACCCGTGATTAATCCACGGACTGGCCGCGGTGCTGTTCAAAGTTTCTTAAAATTTCATCTATGCATAAACAATAATACCAACAAATAAAGGAGCGACAAAAGCACCCCACAGAGTAGATCGAAGACTATACCCACGATTCGACAAATCCGCAATATTCAACGAATTATTCCCAAACCCGACAGTCCGTAGCCAAGCCGGTTCCGTCGAATTGACATCGAGTATATCCGAATTATACGCATCCAAAACACCACTAAAGCGAACTTGAATAGGACCCCGGATAGTTTCCGCAGAAAGCATGTCACCCCACCAGTAGCGCGACACATTTGATCGCATGAATGGAGACGCAGAGAAAGCCCCATCCATAGTCAGATTTGACGTATGGGCGTCGAAATCTACCGTCACATTTGGTAGAACGAACCCATCCCAGTCTTCCGTGTCCCACCATTCTGCTTGGGGAACACTCATGCTCCAATTGCCGTATTCTTCGGATATGTTGCACGGAAGCATGTCGATGTTTAAACGCCAGGATGCGCTTCTGTCATAGGGGGCTAGGTCGCTATGCATTTCTCCCGAGAGAGTAAATGAAGAGTTGGGACTTTTGGTTGTAGTCATGTTGAAATGATCGGGGACGGTTTTATTCTCCTGGTGCTTCCACGTAAGGCTGCTCAAGTCAGGATTGGATCTGAAAGAAGAGGGAAACGGTACGGCTGTAGGGGACTCACAGTGACGACATGACGGGGTACATGAGAGGTGTGCCGTGGCGAAGCAGATCCATCTCATATGGCATGTCGGACATGTTGTGGTTTGGCGGGAGCAGAATTAGCCATAGATTGGCTGGGTTTATGCCGGAGTTGTATGTTCCTCGTTGTGTAATTGCCAAGAGCGAGTCCCATTTCAGGATTGTGGTGCGGTTTCTGTGACTTGGACATACTGTATCGTTTGACGAATATCCCATTGTTGGGTTCAGTTCGATTTCTGTGGTCCCGTTATAGTAACTATACATATTCAGCCAACTAGCTCGTGTGAATCAATAGATGAGACGTACGATCCAACCCAAGTATAGAGCTGATTCAGGCCTGTGACATTGTTTGGCCGGAAGTTTGACGATGGATTATAGTCCGGGTCATCTTTTGCAAGGACGGCTGATGCTAAAATCAAAAAATAGATCTGCGAGACCCATCCCCGGATATAATGCATTTTGGGCGAATCAAAATCAAGGGTAGAAGTCTAACGGGAGGAAAGCAATAAGCAGAAATGTGGGGGTATAAGGCTGGATATAAGGGTTGGGAAATATTGCCCCTGACAAGGCACTAGTAGAGCTCCCAAGAGTTGCCTTGGACGAATTGGGCTTAATTTGAAGAAAAAAAGCTAGTGGCCAACGTTGACATGGTATTTGCTGTCCGACCACAAGACACAATGCACGCCTTGGGCCTTAGGTCTTGGCAAGGCGCGGACGACGTCTTGGCAACATTTCCGAGCGGGAAAAAAAGCCAGAGAAAAACAAAAAGATCTGGACTCGCGGGGAATCGAACCCCGGACCACTCCCATGCTAAGGGAGTATTATACCACTAAACCACAAGCCCAGTTGATTGGTAGATGGAAGCCAAAGGTGCCTTTAGAACCAAAAATTAAGAATACGTTAGTAAGATCTGTCACTCCAGTGTCACCTCCTATACCCATAACCAAATTTTGCATTGTCGAAGTTAATTCGGCTAATATTCTCATTAATACTGAGAATATGATACAATTGTCTTTATCGAACGAAGGTCTTGGCACATTTGTTTACTCGCCATGCAACAGATCATACAGTGAGCGGGAATATATATCTTCGCAAAAGAAAAAAAGAGAAACCCCCCCCCCCCAAATTAGAAGATAAATGCTCACCAACATGCCCAAGGAAACTTGAAGCGCAGACTACAAGACAAGAGCACTTGCATTGGAGTGTCAAGAACAATGGGAGGTTGAGGTTTAAGCAAATCTAGGAAGTTGACTTCTTACTAGGAGGAAGGTGCACTGGCCCTTAGTACCCAGAGCAGCAACTAGGTTACAGGTTGCAGTAACTGTATTAGGGAAGTCCTGTGCCCACCTTCAACAATTGGCGATGGCAAAAGAAATTTGATTCATATGTAGCTGTGGAATACTTGAGTTTCTTATGTCGGCAAAGAGTACACTGGGTAAGTCACTTTCAATCATGGTGTTGATGATATGGCGGCCCCTACTTGTAGATTGAGCGAACTTGACCTCCAAAATAGGAGATCAGGAGTGATTCCGGTTCTTATCTCAAGGTAAATTGATATTTTACAGTCAAGGTCGAAGGAAACGTCCATGGGTATGCCTAAACCCGAATTTTGTCCGAAAGTCAAGCGCTTGATTGACTGAGCTGGTTCATCTTGATTGAGGAACTTTGTGAGTGAAATTGAACCCGCTACTAAAAGTGTCTGGCTTGATTTAGTTAAACAAACTCGCGCTGGGACGATGCCTGTTTCCGCCTCGTGGACTCAGATGACAGACAATTGCCAAGTCTAGCGATGTGGGGAAACCGTAACTATGTCTCTGGTCCGGGTTGTGAAAGCTGCAAGCACCTTGCTACAGTGGCTGACTGAACATGGGATCATGTCTCACGCGGAGAAAAAAAGACAAACAGTCGAGGGACCAAAAGTAGAGAAAACCCTATGCACTGAGCTCTGGCGAGAGGTGGGCGGATCAATCATGGGGAGGGGCGAGAGCCTATTGGGTTGAGGCACAAACATGAAGATCGAGAATCCGCCGGGGACCGTTATCGTGTTGACAGGGATACAACGGGATAGGGAGCGCGTTGGCTGTTGGTCAAGCCTTCAGCGTTGTATTTGGTGACGGTCAGTTGCTACACTCCAAGTGGCGGCCAGCTCCTCGAGGTTGCAATTTGATAAGATACTAGATCTACCCTGCTTCAAATCGTCAACACCTTCCAATGGATTGGTTTATTTAATCAAAACCCGGCAAATTTCCCGGCAATGTCGGCGTTATCCCCTCACGAGGCGTGATAAGCTTCGACTTTGGGACTTTTGGCAACTAGTACCACTAGCTTATGGAGCCTTGCACATAAAGTTCCTAAATAACCTTTCATTATCTCCGTGTGTTGTTTCAATCGCGTGGACAAAGCCTTGGGGGGTGAGGGATACGTTTAGTCCAGTGAGTTTTACTTTACGCAACGTGATCTTCGTTCACTTGATGAACGAGATACTACTATATGTCGAATACCAAGTCTCCGAATACATGGTAGAAACCAGGTAACATACTGGAAACATTATGTGACATTGGGTACCAGGCATACCATACAAAAGTGTATATTATAGTTAGTCATCATGGTCCGCACAGATTGTTGAAATAGCGGGTTTTATCATTTTAGTTAGTTAGAGTTATCAACATCGGTCATTTATACCATATATTGTTCGTATACCAGCTTTCCGTTAGTTATAAGCCCGGAATCGTTCTATTGAACCTAGCTATCGTCGAATTGAGGTCAAAGTAACACTATATCGTCACCCCCGTCGCCGAAGCCAACCCCTAAACCAACCCCTAAATTAAGAATCGGAAGCCTATCTATAAAGGATAACGAACATAGCTAAATATCTCTCCGCGGGTATATCCTCTCGCGTTATACTAAAGGATATAACGATATAGGATATATAGCTAGCTAATATTAAATCGATTGTAGTACAATTCGACGTATAGGAGCTATATAATCCTAGTAATAATAAGAGACTAGAGTTACTAGTAGTACCTAAGAAAGTTATCTCAATTATAGAAGTATAAATATAGTATAAAGACTAATAGGTTGATATATATAAGATACTATAAATAGAATAGGCTAATAATAACGTGGCCTATACCTAGTAGAAGAAGGGACTAAACGTAGTAGTAATAGCTATTCGGAATAGCGTCTACCCTAATGTTACGGACCTACCCGTCACCAATCAGTGGTGACCCACCAGGCACACCAATAGGCCATCGAGAGCCAACTAGGATACCTATCAGCAGATCACGTACAAGCTCACTAAGTAAGAGTATAATCCGCCTTAAGCGGATCCACCTAGTAGAGGATTTCCGTTATATAGGTTGCTCTACGTACTAGATAACCACTACTTAGTATCACGTAATTATATAGGTAGTAGAAGGGTAGTAAGTAGATTAGTAGAATCCGCTAAGGCGATTCTACTATTCTACTATCTACTATTCTATATAAGAAGAACTTAGGGATATATAAGGACACTTATTTATATATCTAGTTTAGTTCTTTGTCTTTAATTATATATTATTACTTATATTTACCTTTTAGATTACTATAACTCTTTACTTAATTATAACTTAATAATACTTACGAGTAGACTAATACCCCGGTATAGATCTACTCGGCGCTCTACCTAGTATTAGTTCCTTAATCGCTTAAAAGGACTTAGGCTATAGTAAGGCCCCGCGCGGTAATAGCTTAGTTATAATCCGATTATTAACGTTAGACTATTCGAGGAGTATTAAGGTAAGTATACCCTAAACCTATCTAACCTAACTATAACTAGTTAGTTAGTATATAATTGTTACGGACCTATCCGTCACCAATCAGTGGTGACCCACAGGCACACCAATGGGCCATCGAGAGCCAACAGATCGAGATCACGTGCGACGCATCCGGCAGAAAAGGGTTCTGCTAGAAGGTAGCTATTACCGGCCCTCGCGGGGCAAATGGCAATTCTACCTAATAACAATACCGAGCACCCGTGACCGCCTATACCACGTGACCGTGACTCTTACGTCGACTCTAGGAGTATACGTAGAAGTATACGGTGACTCCCGAATATACTCTAGGAGTATATTAGGGAGTAGGAAACGAAGGATATATAAGGACACTCCCTTATATACTTAGTTTAGTTCTTCGTCTTCAATCATATATTATTACTTGTGTTTACCTTTTAGATTACTATGACTCTTTACTTGATTATAACTTAATAATACTTACGAGTAGACTAATACCCCGGTATAGATCTACTCGGCGCTCTACCTAGTATTAGTTCCTTAATCGCTTAAAAGGACTTAGGCTACTATAAGGCCCTACGCGGTATTAGCTTAGTTAAGACCCGATTATTAACGTTAGACTATTCGAGGAGTATTAAGGCAAGTATACCCTGAACCTATCTAACCTAACTATAACTAGTTAGCTAGTACGTAATATATTAAAGACCGTCTCGAATTAAGTTTCGAGTCACGATAAGTAATATATCTTCCGTTAATACCGGGAAGAGACCCGTTCGGGAATAGGTTACTCTACCCGTAGAGGACCCCGACTCTAACGTCGAACGAGACAATACTATTACGGAATAGAAGCGAAAGATCAACGAACTTAAATATAACCTTAAAAAGATTATAAATTAGCTTAGTAACTTAGGTAAGTAAAGCGGTACTAAGTTTAGCGAGGTTAACGACTACCTCGAGTAGATTAAGGCTTAAGTTAACGTATCCGTACCTATTAGTACTATCTAGGTACTACGACTACCTAAGGCTAAGTTCTTTAAGGGAAACCGAATTAAACTTCGAGGATTCCTTACTTAGATAGATATATACCTCGATATAAATAGTACTAAGATACCTAATAAAGCCGGTAAGGTGATTTTTATATTAACCTATTTACGCGGTTAAGTATAGGATTAGTTCGAACCTTATATCCGTAACTATTATAGAAAGAAACCTAAAGAATAGTTAGATACTACGATAAATATCTTTAGCGAGTATCGTAATTTCCGTCGATACCTCGAAAATACGTTC